GACAGACAGACAGACAGACAGACAGACAGACAGACAGAAAGACAGAGGGAAAGTAAAGAAGTAGGACCTACTAGTGGCGCCTCCTAAACACTCACAAATGCTAGATGTAGGCTATATCATGATATTAAATGGGTGAGCATTTCAAGTCGTGCAGATTCTTGTGTGATTTAACCTTTTGAGAAGCCTCAACTGCTCGTTTGACTCTGAGTTCTTTCCATCTCTCCCACTCACATTTAAAACAATTAATTTATCAACTGAATCCATTCAATTTATTACCACCTACCTGATCCTCTTCTATAGTGGATTCTAGTTTGTTTCTGAAAAATAATCGGAAGGGGGGGGGGGTGCACTTGTGACGGTAGAGATTCTATCTTAGCCTTGTATTCTTGAAAGAATAGTTTAAAATCTCCTGTAACGCAAGACGTCATAGCTAACTCGCCCACCCCCCCTTTAACCCCCTAAATGCACGCAGATCAAGTAAGCTACGAATAGAGGACTGAAGTAGACATTCGCCCTTGTGAGACTTTTAAAAAATACCCCATTGTACAGATGACCACTATTTCTTTTTTCAAATTAGCATATTATTTTTATAATTACATACATTAATGGGTCGTTTAAGTATTTCCACGTCACACTTGGGTACTTTCAGAACCTGCTCACAGACACGAGAATGCCACTCATTAGTCTTTGTGGAGAAATAAAACCTTTTTTAAAACATTTTTAAACAGATCGCTCACCGAGTAATGTATGCAGATGAAAACTCGCTTGAATTGAATAGGATCCGGCAGCTTAACGAAATTTTGGAGAAAAAAAATTAGTAAGAGTTTTAGGGAACTTGTAATACAATTAAGTTATAATATTATAAACACCGAAGATCAGAGTTGTTACCAGATAGTAGCATACAAATAAAAGAAGGAGAGATAGGGACAACAAAGGTTTGATAGGGAAAAAGAAGCAAACTACACCAGAACCAGAGAACTCACCAACCAACCACTCTTCAAGCTATAAACTTCAACAATAAAACAGCCTGACTTTAGAGCGCAATACTTTTGTAACAACAAAAAAGTGTAATGTTTTAACGTATTAGATGCGGGGAAACGATCGTTGAAAACTCAAACGAGTAAGTCTATGCATAAGATATTCAAAGTTACTTAGGTCTCTACCAATTGTTCTTGATGGCTTTCTTATCAACTTGTTTATTTTCCTGAATTTAACAGCCTTAGCCATTCCCGCATTCATCAGCACTAATCATTCCCGTATTTAGCAGCACTCACGATTCCGGTATTTAACAGCCTTCACTATTCCACATCTGATATCACTCACCATTCCCGTATTTCTTTATCACCTCCAGAGCAATGAGAGCCTCGGCGAAGTCACTGAAGGTTTCGGCGATCATGTAGTCTGCATTGCCTTTGACCGCCCATTCCACTTGTTCCTGAACAACATGGTAGCATAGCAGGCTTGGTCAATATTCCTCAGTCCGTCTGTCTGTCTGTCTGTCTGTCTGTCTGTCTGTCTGTCTGTCTGTCTGTCTGTCTGTCTGCCTGTCTGTCTGTCTAAATGTCTGTCTGTCTGTCTGTCTGTCTAAATGTCTGTCTGTCTGAATGCCTGTCTGAATGTCTGTCTGTCTGTCTGTCTGTCTGTCTGTCTGTCTGTCTGTCTGTCTGTCTGTCTGTCTGTCTGTCCCTCCTTCTCTCTCTCTTCCCCTCTCTCTCTCTCTCTCTCTCTCTCTCTCTCTCTCTCTCTCTCTCTCTCTCTCTCTCTCTCTCTCTCTCTCTCTCTCTCTCAATTCACAATACAACTCACACGCTACATCGAGTTTTACCTTAAATATTTCCGCTGTTTTCCTCGCTGACTCTTTGTCATTAGGTACAAAGGTCGTGGAGTTGGACAGATTGCCGGCCATGAGCTTACCATATCTGAAAACAAAAGACAGACCACTTTCCTTTGCATGTCCATCTGCCGACCCTAATCTAAAGTGTAATGTATGTATGACATAAATTTTCGTCCTAACAGACGATTTAACAGAAGTATGCATGACACAGCTTTGCCAGAGCTGTAGACATAAAAGTAAGGGGATTGCTTAAGTACAACTGCATTTCCTTCAGGCCATGACTTGATGTTTGTATAGCAGCACAAGTAGGTCATATGAGAGCCGAAGATTACAGAAGAGTAACGGAGGAGACAAAGATAAAAGCTGATTCTTGATACGAAATAATGAGCAAATCACACCAGAGAACCCGCCAACCACCAACAAATTTAAGAACGTACGGTAGAAAATGCTGCGAATATAATATAAAAACCGTCCTTTTCAGAATGGACTTTTTCAAAGGATTGTTCACCCGTGTATGCTTCGTAGCGGTCAGGCGCATCTCCGCCTCACACAGAGGACTTGAGTTCAATTCTATAGTGGGGAGAATTTTTCATCGAGTGTCTTATCGTTTTTTTCTGCACTGACTTCGTACCCCTCTCAGTCTGGATTGGCTCTCCTGACAGGCAGGGTCGAAGCCCGCCTCCCAAATGATCTAAACTGGGTTATCAGGGAGCGGCAGAAAACGTCTTAACTTTAAAAAAAAGGAATAAACAGAATGTCTCCCCTCCTCTCTCACTCACTTTCTCTCTCTCTCTCTCTCTCTCTCTCTCTCTCTCTCTCTCTCTCTCTCTCTCCCTCACCCCCCTTCAAAACCACAACCCCCCTTCCTTTAAAAATGTTTCACTTACTTGTCCGCAACTTCTCTTGCCATACTGAGGGAGTTAAGATTCAGTTTCTCCAGCTCATCCTCGCGGCCAATGACCTTCATCTTCTCACGATGACCGTAGTACTGCAGAAAAAAATACCTTGTACGTCACACATTTTGCACGTTAGTTCCTTTATCATGTAAGGAAAAAAAAAAAAAAAAGCAAAACCGACATTGATTATTCTCAGTTGCAAAGCGCATACAGTAAGCTGTAGAGCATGAAAATACGCTATGCAATAACTTATCAAGTATTATTGTCATTCCTTTGTAAAGTCAGGCTCGTTTGAGTCTGAATAAAGAATAATGGACACTCCTTCAGCTCAGCAGGTATCATGCTGGACTACAGAGCGGATGGCCCGGGTTCGAATCCTTAACGGGGAGTTCTGAAGTTGTGTTGGTTTGGGGAGTGTCCAAAGCTGTCCACCCGTTTGGCTCGGTCCTGTCGGAGATGGACGTCAAATTCAGAGGTCCCGCCTCATAAATAACCATACAGTGTTGCAGAGGGTCGTAATTAAACAATTACAAGAATAGCAGCGACACCACCAATACCATCAAAGATACGTAGACTCTTTGATACCATCTAGATCAGGGGGAAAAAGTAAAACAGAAGCGCAAAGGGAAGGAGAGAAGTAGAACACATGAAAAGCACCCCCCCCCCCCTTTTTCCAGCTACCTGCACCTACATCATAATTATTTTATTTTATTGAATTATTTTTTTTTGGGGGGGGGGGGGGTGTTGACTGTTTTATCTTTTTCGGTTCTTGTTTTTTTTAAACAGTGTTTTACGCCCTCCATACACACAATTCTGATCATTTAGGAGGCAGGCTTATTCCACCCTGCGTGCCAGGGCCAACTTGGGCTGAGAGGGATACAACCACCTCGCAGAAAGACCCAAAGATACTCAATAAAAATCTTCCCACACGGGGATCGAACTCAGGTCCCTTGCGAGCGACGATGAAGCCCTTAGCAGCTACACCATTGACGCCAGAAACAAGTGTGTAAGTAATTCTAAACAAGGACAAGTCTAGAATGTAGCCGAAAAGATCGAGCCTTTTTGACTTTCTAAAAGTCCGTATACTTAGATTGGTTTCAGTCAGAGTTTGTGAGTACTTGCAACATAATTAGGTCATATAAAAATTTAGGATTTGAAGCGTCGAGAGTTACATACAAATAAAAGAAGGAGAAGAGGAAATGAAGATGGTTGTTTAATATAAAAAAAGAAGAAAGAAGAAACCAGACCACGCCAGTCGGTATACGAGTAAGGTTTCTTTAGTAGTTGTAGTAAGAGTTTTACGGCACTTGCAACACAATAAAGTTATATAAGTGCCGAAGGTTAGAGGTGTTTCAAGAGAGTAACAAACACGAAAAAGAAGGAGGGGAGATAAAGACGATAGACGTTTGACAGGAAAAAAGAAGCAAACCACACCAAAGCATCCGCCAACCACCCACATGGGTTTCTTTGATCTCTCTCTACCGACTCACCGTATATGCCTCCACTACATCACTTCCTGAGAGAACATACTCCTCGTGCAGTGACGTCACTCGCTCGGGGTAGTCCAAGACGACTTCTGGGGTGAAGCAGCCACATTTCACAAAACCCCGCCTCTCTAGCTCCCACATGTATCCCTCCGCACAGATAATGCTCTCCCCATCCCTCAGACGTTCTCTCAATCCTGAAAAAAAACAACAGAAGACCCACATTGTGAGATAAAAAAAACAAGCAAACAACAAACAAATATTGACACAATTTCGATCATTTAGGAGAGAGGCTTTGACTATGCTTGTCAGCCAATCCGGACTAAGAGGACGCACCACATGTCCCAGCTGAAAGACTGAGGTACGAGTACTTGAAAAAACTGTTTCGTCCCACAGGGAATCGAACTCGGGGTCTACAGCGCGCTGCGTTGAAGCGTTTAAGGACTGGTGGGGCACCTAAGGTCTATTTTGGTTATTACAAGGCCTAGAGTGCCCATATCTGCTGTGGGACATTGTGTGCTATTGGGGATTTGAAATCT